GAGGTCTGGAGGCGTTCCCCTCAAGTCCGTCTGGCATCACAGCGGGGAAGTCCCCGTCCCTGCACAAGAAAACAGACGTGAAGAATTAGTTAAAGAGTTCCGCTTTCTCCTCTGGCGCAACCACCAGATTGCCCAGCGTACTTTGCAGGGGCCCCACATTACCCGGTGCCTTCTTCATCCTCCCTATATATTTGAAAAAGGACTTTTTATTATCCTTGATCTTGGTGACATGCTGGCATTGACTAGCTAGGTAGACTGCTTTGTACATGGCCCTTTGTACTCCTGGTGATATCCTTATCTCTTGGGTAAAATGGGTGGGAATGCTGTAGCACCCCAAGGCCCCTTTTGGGTGGAGTATTTCCCTTGGCCTTTTGTGCAAGTTGGCTGTCTCCTTTATAATGCTTGAGCAACATATAGGGGATGAAGCATAATAGAAAATGTGGGTTCATGCCCCAATCTTTGCTTTTCTGGGGTTGTCTAATCAGAGTCCTGGATTGAAAAGGTGTATGTGTAGAAAAAGCGAGATCAAGACAGGCCAGCAAGCCAGGGAGAGGCAGAAATATCTTGGATTTACAACATCTGGGAGCATGAATGGTGCATGCCCGTGGAGGCTGGCGGGGCATGGCTGCTCCAGCAGCGGCGGAAGCACAGTGGTGGCAGCCCAGCAGCAGGGAATGGGAGCGGTTGCCGAGGGGAGGGTGGTAAGTGCTGACCATGGGTTGGCAACCACCCTCAGGTGCTGCTGGCAGCATCAGCATAGGCCAGAGGTGATCATGGACTGTCCGCAGACGCCTCCACCACCGCTGCTGACTTTTTGCAGGGGGTGCATTCTCATGATTAGGGGGTGCATGTGCACCCACATTCACTCCCTACGTGTCACCCCTGCCTGGGAGGCTAACTAAGTTTGTGTCTTCTGAGCCAGACAGAATGCTATGTTAGCAATGTGTCTCCTTCCAAGCATTTGGTGAGAACTATCTGGCAAATATAATGCATGTGACAGTGGTTGCAGTGATCACCGGGTTCAATAAACACAGGCATACATAAATAAGAACTGAATAACAAATGTTCATTGTGGAGCGGTGAACTATCCATTGCAGACCCTTTGTCCCTCTCTAACGTACTACAGTACTCCCTTACTGACGAACCATCTCCCAATTTCCAAATTTTCTAAATTAGGGAACATCTCTAAACTAATACATTTATTACTACAGTGGTTACCAGTGAGAACTAACATTCCCTGCACTGCCAACCAGCATTGCCTTCCCAGTGTTAAATTTAATACTGTATGCCTCGCAATTAAAGCAGGAATAATTGCAACACATATTACAGGATTATTAGTACTGTTTGCCGTATAAGTGTTGCTGAATCTTGACAGGCTACTTATGTGTGAGGGGTTCAGTGTGTAGAAACAGGGTCTACAGAAATGAGGACTTGGATACAAGAGTATTTAAAGTTGTTTTTTTCCCCCCTCATATGTTTATACAATACCTAGCATCATGAGACTCAACCGGGTGCCTTTAGATGCCACTGAAATATAAACAGTAATAATGATCAGCTAGTCAACAGCAAGGAGAATGCTTCTCCTTTATTAATGGCTGAAAATGGTAGTTTGAGTAGACAGAACTATGACTAATCTGTTCTGCTTCCTTAGGAATAGGGTCTCTTTATGGATGATGGACCGGAGACCTAGAATCTTGCATCCTCACTGTTCTAGCATGCAAAACAACATATCATAAGCCTCAGAAGGTAATGCTGCATTCTCATATCTGATTCTTTCCTTAATGGCCTAATTTTGAACCCTATAGTCGATATTTACTCAAACAAGTATGAGTATAAGACCACTTGTGTGAAATGATGGCATGAAAGGATGTGTCTTCCCAAATTGAAGAGCCAGAGTTTAGGCCTGGATTGTGAGTTTGTTATTAACAATAGGCAGACAAGGTTGTTTGGGTAACTTTGCCTTTCCCTAAATCCCCCCACCCTTCATATCAGTCCAGAGTTATTCTGCAGTTATTTCTGTACCTTTAAAATAAAATCTGAAACTTTTCAATATAGTATTCAGAACAGCTGCTACATTTCACTCCTAGGTAGTTGCATTTCAGTGAGAATGAATGGTGCTACAGGTCATTCCACTCTTAAGCAACCTGGGATATTTTAGAATGAAAGGCCCTTAGATAAATGTATGGTATATTTGCAGATGCTGGGCCAGGCAATCTGGTATGCCTCTGTGGTCCCAAAACATGCAGGGACCTGAGGAGTTGTAACTGCTACATCATATTGCCTACTGCTCTTCTTTTGCTTGATCGTGAAGAGCCTCATCATAGGTCAGAAGAAAGTGGATCAGGATCAGGAGAGACAAATGTAGGAAAAAGCCTCCAACATAGTGTCATGGCCCCCAGGCTGTGGAAATGATTCTGTATAATAAATCCCTGTTATTATCTTCCACTGATAGTCGTCTCTTCTTACATTGGAAACCCCTGTAACTATAAAGAGGTTGTTTGCCAGCAGGGACCACCTGGAAAAGAGTGCCTGTTTGACCTTTGTACAATTTGCCTTGGATGCAACCTAGAAAGATGCCTACAGATCTCAGGTCTTTCATGGGCTTGGGTAGAATCGCTGTTCCCACTACAGGTGCGGAAACTCTCTTCTCAACAGGGTCATTAGGAGGCAGTTGAATTACAGCCCTTGAAAAATTCCATCCTTTCCTCTAGTTTCATCTGCGGAGTGGATGTTGTATCTCTTTGATGGTAACTTTGGAGAAATTGAGTGGAGTCATTTATTCAACTGTAATTCAAAAAAATGTGATTTCCTTAAAGTCACATGGACTAAATAATATAAAAATAGCTTGAGAAAATGTACCCCAGACTTTGACTAAATACATTAAAGCCAACAAATATGCAGAAGGATGCATTCTAAACAAGATCTTGCATGTCTAGACAAATGGAACAGAGCAAGAATGTATAGGACATAGGACAGATAAATGAGTGTAGTCAATGTTGATGCATTAACTGTAAATTGGGAAAAATAAAGTGTAAGTTATATAGGAGCTCTCAAATGTATAACTTAGCTGGTAAAAAAAAAAGAACAAAAACCACAACAACTAACCTGTCATCTCTTTATCACAGTAATTCTCACCAGGATGCTGAGGGAAGGGTGAGGAAATAAGTGAGGTATGGGAAGATAAGCAGCAGATAAGCCCAGGCTCAGGCCCCTCTGCAAATAGGTAAGCGCTATAATATATGCATTGGTTTTTGAAATTGGGAGCCACTCAATTCACAAAAGTTATGGAGAGGTCTTGGGTCTATTGAGGGGTGCCTCGAGTCCAAAGAGGTTGAGAACCATTGCTCTAGCAAAAACAGTTCAGGTTATCATTTTATGGAGATTTCAAGAATATCAGGGATGTACTTGGTAGCTGTGTTGTTCTAAGACAAAGAAATACAAAAATCTAAATCAGTTTCTTAAATGAAATACAAAAATCCAGAACTCTTGGTTCCTAAATGGTACCTTTTATTAGACCAACTAATAAATAAATAATTAGTTGGTCTAATAAAAGGTATCATTTCAGAACCAAGAGTTCCAGATTTCTGTATTTCATTTAAGAATATCAGAGGATTCCAGTAGAGGGCAATATTGCTTCATTGGATTTGGCTTCAAACAGTTTAATCAGCAGGAGGCAAATATACAAAGCAATGATCAAAGCTGCAAGAAAACAAATAAGGCCCAAACCCTGCTGAACACTTGTGTTGAAACTTACGCACAGCAGTAAGTGCATGCATCAGTGCTCACAGGATCTAGGCCCAAATAACCTAATGCAAAGTAAAGCCCAAACACATTTGTCTGAATAAAAGTACTTCAATGGAGCTCAAAAGTTTAAATTAAAATTTTATGTGTGCCCTTTAAGTGCTTTTCTGGATGACAGTCAATTTCCTGGGCTTTCATTTCTTGACTGATGCTAAATGTATTCTGTTTGTTCAAACTTCCTGTTATTGATGAGAGGCCATTCTAGTTGCTTCACACTGCAGTGTGACTACAAACCAGTAAACATAACCAAGTTAATTTTCAAATGAGCAGTGCACTCTAGGAGTGTGGAGCTAAGTGCAGGCCGCAAGGGCTACCTGGGCATCTGGGTAAATATTTTGACGACTGGCCCGCTGAGCCTGAGTTAGCTTTGTTATGAGCTGCAGTCACACCCTTTAATGTCATGTAGAAACACCCTTCAGTTCACATAAGGCCTCACTTGAATTTTCTTCTTAGTGGACAAGAAGGTCATACAGGACTGTTTCATTTTTCAACAATAAATATATGTAGAATGGTTGATACAACTAGTTTTGTGTCCAGCTTTGGAGCAGATGACGATTCCTAGTTTCCTTTAGCAATTCAGGGGACTTCAGTTTTCTCAATGAAGGCAACTCAGGATTTTTATTAAACTGGATATGATTATTCCATGCTTTGCTTTCTTGCTTGCCATTCATCAGAACAGCAACTGAAAATAAGAAAACACAAGATTTCATTCTTTGGGCCAGTAAAGGCTAGCACAGCTCTGTATCTGTGGTCATCCATCTGTAAAGCCTGGTTTACAAGGCAGATGGTTTTTCCTTGTATATAATCCAACAAATATTGTTTATGACAAAGGGATGCTTCCTCTTCCTCTATGGATATTCAAGTTAGATTCTCAGCTCATCCACTTAGCCACCCATGGCTCATGGTGATCTTAAACTCTTCTGCAAATTGTAAGGAATTAACAGAGTTGCACTAGTTTAAGGAGAGCGAGCACACGAGGACTCCTTTGATTCTTAATTAAAACCTGCCTTTTTATTTTAGCTTTCACTCAGGGAAAATTATATTTTTGGTGTCAATGTTGGAGGCTTCTTGTTCCATACGTTGTTCCCATTAAATACTTATACCAGAATATTCCATCACTGCAGGCAGAATCATTGGTCAAATCTGTTGTTGCTAACTTCTGTTCTGTTCTAACTTTGCTAGCTGTATATATATATAACCTGGGTGGTATGCAGAAAGGTACCTCCTCTCCAATCAAAAGGATGTCATCCAGTACCTGTATGCTGTGGGGAGTGTGGCTGTCTAGCTGCAGGCCAGCTCACCTCCTTCCCCTATAGAGCCGAGCAGAACAGATACTCAGGACACCCAGTGATATTTAATTATGTACAGGTTTAATTATACAAAATAATATAAAACTTATAACTATAAACTTACATACATATATCTATAGGCATATATACATACACATGTACATAGGTTATTTACAAATATAGGTTTACACAGGCAATAGCTCTTTTCAACCCTGAACTCAAGCATAGGCCTAATTTCCTGTGGCTTTTGGGTTAGCCTGCAGCCCCTGCCCCTCATCAGGGCCCTCCAGGCTGCAGGGGATGGAGGTTAACCAACAGACCAATGACAAGAAAAGCAGGCAGTGATGGGTCAATAATTAAACATATGTAATAAGGTTACATCAGATAAAACATACATACCTAAAGATAATCAATACAACCCAATGGCAGGAATATCTGACAGTGATAGGACAATATATAACATACACAATAAGGTTATATCAAGTAGAACACATATGCATAAAATAACTAATACAATAAATACAAATACGGGACAGCTGATAATCCTCTTCTAATGCAACAATAAAGACACAGGGTAATAACAGAATCCCAGCGGCGTGGAAAAAGAAACAGAACCCAACAGTGGCACAGCAGCTGTGCCCAAAGAAGCAACAACCCAAGCAGGGACCCTGTCACCTAATAAAACACCATTACCCTCTCAAGGTTCCTCAGCTAGGCAGGGCCCTAAACCAGGAAACCCCCGTAACAAACGGTAGCCCTGGATTCCTCTTTGTGTCCCAGGGTGAATTGTCCCCTCCTGTCAGGGTCTTCCCCTCAGTCACCTGCAGTGGGGAGGGCCCCCTTTTCCCTTTGGGAATCTCTTTCCCCAGTGACTCATGACTCCCGCAGCTTTTGAAGGGTTGGGCTCGTCTCCAGCGGTGTGTTGGGGGTGAGGCATTCCCTCCCCACCTCTCTGGGGTGGTCAACTTGTGCCGCTCCCAGCGAGAAGGTCTGAGCTGCAGCTCTTCCAGCCTGTCTGCCCGCTTTCCACCCTATGCACTGCCCCGTGCACTGAAGAAGCACCTGCCTTGGGTGGGGGGGGGGGG